GTCTTGTCTGTGAGTGGGTGGGGGGACATTTAGCCTAAAATGGGAAGGTTATACATTTACTGTACCTCAGAATTTTATAGCATTGTGTGTAAATTTATTCTGAAAAATAATTTGCCTCTGAAGTTCACAATCAGTATTGAAGTATAAATTCAAGACAGTCAGTCTGAGGTAAAACTGAAGTTTTTTTCCCCCACTCGTGCAACATTTATCTTTGGAACATTTACTCATCTGTGTTCCAAAGATGGATATTCAYTTTGTTTTTGTTGACCAGCTGTTGTTGTTCTTTATATTCTGTGTTTACTTTGAAAGAAAAAAAGGTAAATATAGTCATTCCAAGCAAACTGTTGTTCTCTTTCTTTTTCAGAGGAAACATAGGAAAACAGACAGAGCTTTTACTAAAATAAATGGATGAAGTGGGTGGCGATCACACATTTTTTTTCAATGAACTTTTTTTGATTTTTCTTTTCCTCCCAATGCTGGGAAAATGTCATGACTAAAAACTGATCAGCAATGTAGTAAGGAAGAAAAACATTATTCTGTAAAAAGTTTGTGTTTTAATGGGTTGTCTGGATTTGTGTATATATAGTATATATATATTTTAAAATATAATTTTTGCTTTGAGATTTGTTTTTTCTTTCTTTTTTTTTTCCATCCAACCACCTTGCTATTTACAAGTGTTTAAAATCCATTTAGGTTGAAATTGATGAAAGCCAAACTGATTAATTGGGCTCTTGAGTTAATAAATTTCATGTTTTTCATGGATTGCATGTAATTTTCCTGTGCTACAGTTTAAAAACAAAAAAAGTTGATTTTAAAAAGTTGAGTGTAATTTTTTTCCCACTCCAATGCTATTAAAGAGGCTGTGTCCTTTTGGAGCAGTATACAAGTGTCTCGACTTTTTGTTGTGCTTAATGGAGAACTGAACTAATTTAATCTGACCAGATTTAGTCTGTTTATCAGGTTATATTCAATCCAAAAAAACTCRTGGTATGAAATGTTTACACTCCTGTTTGTGTATTAAAAACTTTGGCCCCAAGATGGATTCATGATAGTTGCATCAAATTTTCTCTCACACTCTGTTGTTTATGTCATGAAAATCAGCAGCAGATAAGATCAATTTTGCATGCTGATTCCAAAAGAACATTTGAAAGCTGTTCCACTTACAGTATGCAGGGTTCATGCCAGGTCTTAAAAAGTCTAAAATTTGAAAATCTAAATTTTAGGCCTAAAAAAGTCTTAAAAACACCCAGATTTTCATCCAAGGTATTAAGTTTAATTTTGTCAAGTCTTAATTCATTCTGTTTTTGATCATTCCTGAGAACCGTTGGCTGCATAAACAAAGCAAGTTAAGAGTCGTAATCAGAGGTTGACACGATCCGTCTTCATGAAGTGCTAAGTTTGCTACAGGTCAGTTCCTGGGACATCAGAAGAGAAGCTCAACTATGTTCCACTACAGCATTTTGGAAAAGGAAAAAACAAGTTTTGAGCAACTTCATTCAAGTTTTGGATTCTCATTCATAGATTTTTTTTTAAAACAACTGGACTTCTTCTTTATTGAATTTAATTTACTTATCTGATTAGTGTTCTCAGTTCAAACTGAACAGTGCAGCTTTCCAGCTTTAAGCTGCTGTGAGGTTTTTTGTCTTTATGAATTTTGTAATGATTTGTGAACAGTTGAACTAAGACCCTTATATATTTCTCATAASTAATAAATTATATTAAGTCCATTTATCATTAAAAATATGCAGTCAGATGATTATTGGTCACTGAATAATAATGCACATTAAGATAAATTATTGACATTTGTATCTGCATTTCGTTCTGAACATGGGTAAAACTAAATGTATGTTTAAACCTATTGTACATTGAGAGCACAATTTCTTCTTTGTRCAGGACTGAGATTGACTTTGTAAAAAAGCTATAAGTATTTTGATATCTGGCTTCACCACAAACACACATTTGAAACCCACATAAATGTCCTGCAGTCAAAGGTTAAATCCTGCACTGGCTTCTTTTGCCGCAATAAATCTTCCTTCACTCACTCTTCACTCTGCCAGACAGCTGGTTAAAATAAAAGTACTTCCAATTCTAGATTATGATGTGATTTTTTCTACAGGTCTGCCTCATACTGCTCTCCGATTTCTAACTGGAGCTTCCTTTAAAACACATCACTGTGATACTGTATGTACTCCCTGATAAACCGACCATCTCTTTTGTTCATTTATACTGTAAAACCCATGTTGGAAAAACTCCCAAGTTAGACCTACAGTCACTTTTGACTATTTACAAACCAAATCTCAGTCTGTATATAGTCACTTCATCGATCTCATATCAAAAGCCTGTACCTCCTTTGGTTGCTCCTCATTTCAGTTATTTGCTGCTGACTGGAACCATCAGCAACACACACAGCTTGACTCATTCTTTCCATCTCTTTTATACATTCAGTAGTACAAGACCATTGTTCATGTTTATTGTTTCTTTATTTTATTGTTTTTTATGGTTCATGTTTCATGTATGTTACTTTATGCTGTTTGTATGTTTTTGCTTTTACCATTGCACTATGACATCTTGTGTTATGTTGCTGCCTCCCTGACCAGGTTTTTGACCATTGTAAATGAGAATTGGTTTTCAGCTGACTTCATGTATACTTTAGGGGTGCAACAATACAGAAAATTCACGGTTCGGTTCAAATTGATATTTTAGTTTCACAATTTAATAGTTTTTCGATACACAAAAGGGAAATGTCTATGTCCTTCTTAACTTGTAGTTCATTGAAATTAATTGTTTACTCTCAAAAGTACAGTTTTTAAATTAAATGTTGCTGAAACAGCAAGTTTCTCAGTGGATCTGCGCTCGACAGTGTAGCCTTGGTGGAGTAGTCGAACACAGATCCACTGAGCCTTCAACATGGAGCACCTTCAGAAGACAAGTTCATAAAATAAATTTTAAAAATCGATATTGTTCGAAACATAGTGCGTGCTGAACCTAGAGCACTGTAATGAATRATTCGATAATGTATTGTTGCACCCCTTTGTTTCATGAACATTTAATTTGTATATTATCATTTGTAAATTAAACTGTCRTGACTACGATCAGTGACTGATTCATAATGGTGATTTAAAATTGCTCTCATGATGTTTTGTTTATGTAATAAGGACAGGACATCAGCAGACAGCATACTGATTTTTAAGTTAGTTATGTAATTATGACACCATATAATCTTCAGTTGCGTAAATAATGTAAATTATCACTGATCCTGATGAAGGGTACGGGAAATTTTTTGTTTTTGTTTTTAATTTGCTGGCTTTTGATGGTTTAAAGTTTTGGTGATTTTGGCATTAGGTAAAATATTACAATTTCTGAACAAATCTATAAAAAATTATGTTTAACAATAGTTTGTTTATTGGGTTACAAAGTGTAATGCACTTCTCTTAGGTCTGTTTTAAGAAAGGCAACTTTTCCTTAAATATGGTTTTGTAATCCTGAGGTTGCAGTTTCGAACCCAGGTTGCTAGATTTTTAGGGTCTCCCGTGATTCCAGCATTGATGCAAATGAACAACTTTCAAATGATTTGTGTTGCCCAAGATGAACTCATGCAGAGCTCATTTGTAAGAGGATGTGGTACTTTAGCATAAAACCAAGGTTATCTGGTTGAATGAATTAATTCATTTGTGTGTATTTGTTTGTGGTCTCATGCAACAGCATCCCTGYTGTCATAAACATCTCATCCCAAGTAAAACTTTTCAAATATCAAGCTTTTATCTGTCCTGGCTTTGTATCATTCAGGGTGTAGAGGGGACTTGAATAACCCCCAACAGGGGAGAGATGAGATACACGTGGACAAATCGCCACTCTGCTGTAGAGCAAAAGTAGACGTGCATAAGAACAGTTTATATATATGTGTGTGTATATATATATATA